GCCCTCGTTTTGTGGCATTGGTGGGTTGAGATGGTCTTAAAAGTGGAGCACCTCATATGCAACATACGCCACGCATCCCGACGTGCAACTGCACAGGGAAGGTGCCTTCCAAGGCAGGGAAGGGAGCAGCACTCGCTATCTTTCAGACACAGTTCCCAGCCACAGAAGACGATAGTATCACGTCTCAAAAGGCCCCTACCGTATTCACTCATTTTGTTTCATAAGCAGATACAGCTCCTACTAGCTGCATGTCTGGTAAGGGTGCGGCCGGCGCTGCGCTCCCTCGGGGAGAGCTTCAGTTGATGAAAGTACCTAATTATACAGGGTATTTTTTTTTTTCCCCACTTGTTCCCAGTGAGACAAGGAGCTCGCATCCAAGTGGAGGAGGGTGGTAGGAGAAACAGCAAGTCAGGGCGAAGATCCTCTACAAAAGGGCTCTGGCTTTCCTGTGAAAAAAATAAACTACTCTGGGCTCAATCTGCACCTTCTGTTTTGTAGCTGACCCACCTGATGAAATGAGCCAGGAAAAGTCCAGGGCAATGGGACTGTTCTGTACTAAAACAGTTATTAAAATCAGTGGGAAAACGCTTGTTTTCCCCACATAGAGAATTCTGTCTTTTTGTCACCTAAAACCCAAACTAGTTTGTTTTCTAGCAACCAAAATTTTCTCTGGAAGCCTCAAAAATCTAAGGGCAAAAAGCATAAAGTTTCCTGGTCTGAGCTGAGCACTGTCAGATTTCAGTATTGCAGCTCTCCCGTGACAAAGCAAATCATATTTTTTGATCAGAGACTTAGCAAGAACAAACTTATTTTAAAAAAAAAGCTACTAGGAAAAACATTTTACATGTAATTTTTTCTGCATCTTCTCTTAGTCAGGAAAACTCTCAAGGAGAATTTTTTATTAATACAATTGCAGTGAGCGTGTCTTTAGGTTATTGTTAGAGGATTTAGACAGCTTCAGCTTTTGTCAACAGACTCAAGCTACAGTAAGTCCCTGCTTGATTACTCACCTCAAACACCCTGTAGCGTTGAAGAATACTTCTGGGTCAATAATTTCTCTTGTCCTATTGCAGCTGCCATCAGACCAGCCAGAGAAAGGGATGATAACACAGTCTGTCAAGACGGGGAGGGCCTCCTGTATCAACTCTTCTTTTAGTTCATCGGTGGAGGAGAGGTTCCAGAGCAGTCCTAGGAAGGAGGTGGGAGACAAGCTCAAGCAAAGGATCACCATGCATTAGAAACTTTCTTTAGGTCAGAGTGAATTCCAGCAACAAAGTCCTTCTTCACTCCATCCCTCTTTGAACTAAGGGTGCAGAGGCTGCCCTAAACCCTAGTCTCTGTCCATCCCTATGGGAGCCAGCAGGCTGGGCATCAGGAGTGTGGTACCTGTGGAGGTGGGCGTCTAAGCATCCTCCCTCCTCCCAAAATTGGTGTTTATTGCCATTAGGTTGCAGGGGGAAGGCATTTCTCCAGGGATCTCATAAAGGCTTGCACACAAGACCTCGGTCACAGCTGAGGGTGACCTGCACCAACAAACTCAGGTCAATCCTTCAAGAAAAGATGAGACACCAATGAGATAACCTGCCCACCCATATTGGGATTGCCAGCAGCCTTGGCCTTCCTTGGGAACAGCACGGGGGCCAGGAACGCATGGGACTGGCAGGGTGGCCACAGCTGTGGGGGGAAACCTGGGGCAGGTGCTTCTCCCGAGGGCACTTATGATATGAGGAACCCTTATAGGACATCGAAGGGCCAGGACCTCCTCTGCCTTCTGTTTTAGGTTGCCATTTGGTGCGACAGGAGCATAAAACATCCTCTTTGTGGTATGGCAGCACCATGGCTACTGGGCCTGAGCGTGCTGGAGCAACACAGACCACAGGCAGGGAGGAGCATGGTCCTTGCTGAGGGCTGAGCAGTCTGCTGTGTACCTGTCAGTTGTTTCTGAATTTCAGTGTTCCCTGTCCTCCGTAGGAGGCTCACGCACTCCCTTATTCCATTTTGCCGCCGAGTTTCTATCTTATTGGTTGGATTCTTGAAGACCAAATTTCGGAGGGCTCCAGCTGCCGCCCGCTGTACGTTCTGGTTTGTGCTGCGGAGCAGCTCGACGAGCTTGGCGATTCCCCCCAGCCGATAGACCTGTACCAGGAAAGACATGCTGCCATCAGCAGAGCATCGCTGGGACAGGGACAACTAGAACTGTCACGACAATGCAAGGAGTCAACGTGGCACATACTCAGGGGAGCTGGAAAAGGAGACCTGGCAGCAAAGGATGGCTAGAGCTTGCAGATGGCAAGTCTCGTTCAGGCCATAGGTCTGGAGCACAAAGGTGCTGGTCTTGAGGTTGGAGCTTAAACTCCAGAAGTGGATGTCTATGAGTAATGGCCATGGACCAAATCCTTTGCTGATGTAAATGTGCTTGTTCCCACAAACTTTCACCTACCTCCATCAGTTTGCATCAGGTGAAAATGTCGCTCTGCCTATCTGTAGAGGCCATTTATAGCAATATAATGACATGATGTGGTAATTTATCTGCATCCTGAAATCACAGGCTGAGCTTAGAGGGATGGTCATGGTATGGTGTAAACACCCTGGAGGTCAGCCAGAAGCAGTACTGGGCCACCCTCCAGCACTCAACAGGGGCAGCATCGGAAAGGGGTGTGAACCCCGACCTGCAGGACACCCCACACATGCTGGAGAGGTTTGAAGACAAATTCCTCCAGCTGAGCTCTCCAAAATGATGAGGGTTCCCGCTGTGGGATGCCCTCTGTACGAAGTCACCTGGGGACGTGATCCCGCATGGAGCCCCTCCTAGCACAAACCAACCCATCGGCTGGAGATTTGCTGACAATAGAAAATGAATGAGCACCTTTTAGAAAGGAAAGAAAACAAGCGTGCGCTGGGATGACTCACATACCTGCTCTGACACATCTTTCTGGGAAGCGATGGGACAGGCCAGTGCTCAGAGAGAGAGTTTTCAACGGTAACGAAGGGTGTGGCCACCCCACAGTTAGTGACTGTAACGTGGGCTGGGGTACCCGACTCCAGTTCAGCCTCAGCAAGGGCACAGAGGTACGTCCCCGCACTGTGCCAGCGTGTCCAGCTCTGCTATCGTGCCAGGAAATGGAAAGCCACCTCTATAGGGATGGCATCTCGATAAACCCATGTTTGCATGACTGCAAACACACCAGGGTGGGGATAAACTTTTGTGACAGTCTTGCTACAGCAGATCCACCCCTGAGACAGTCTTGCTACAGCAGATACATCCCCTTTGCTGCATGTTGGCATAAATTTAGTAATTGGAGAGTAAGAGCATAAGAAAAATAAGCTGTGCTATAAGAAGGGCTTCTGTTTGATCAAATATCTTCGTACACGATCACTAATTAACCCATTGGCTTAGATGGCTGAAAACGGCTGAAAACGGCTGAAATGGCTGAAATGTCACTGAGCAATGCACAGTGAAGATCACAGTGGGATTTAGGGCAATTTTGTGTGGCTCTGACACTGCAGCTCTGAGATAGAAAAAGATTCATGTGGAATCAGGTGCAATTGGATCCAGAAGAGGACACTGCGTCTGGATGGCTGCTCCCATATCGCCAGAACCTGTCAATCTGTGTCACAGCAGCTTACGGCGATAATGTGGACACAGTCTCCTCTGCTGCCTGGTAACTATTCCCCTGTGTTAAAATCCTGACTGACTGCTATGAAGAGAAAGTGGCCACTAATGGCCACTAATAGCTGAAAAATCTACTTAATGAATTCCTGAGCGTGACTAATGAGGTATAAGGCTCCATCACGAAAATCAAGGGGACCTATGAATCCTTGGTACTGAGGAAAACCAGTTCCATCCATCTCATGTGCCATCACATCCAGTGCGACAGCAGAGCTCTGAAGGAGTTTGCTCACCTCTTGCTTGGCAGACTCATCCTGGAAGCAGGTGTGCTGGAGGTAGTAAGCACCCATGGCCTGGTATTTGTCATCAGAGGAGCACAGAAGTTGTATGGCTTTCTGGATAGTCATTGCACCGCCGTCTATTTCATCACCACATATTCTGTGTTAAAGAGAAATACAGCACTGGTTGAGTGCTCAGCCAAAAGGGCTACGTCAGTACTGGGAATTATTAGGAAAGAATCAATTACAAAATGTAAAATATTATCACATTGTCTCGTAAACCACATGGTGCACCCCTAGTGCATTTCTTTGCCTCAAAAAACCAGAATATAAAAGTGGAAAATATACAGTGGAGGACAGTAAGGCTAATAAATTACGGATCCAGTCTATCCAGAAACAAAGGAGACAGAAAATAAAAGCTCAGTTGAGGTGCTAGATGTCTAATCATGTCTAAAGTGGAATGTTTAATGAACAGAGAACCAGTATTCACCGTTCCTCAAACAAAAGAATTAGTGGACAAGAGTAAAACCATCCGTCAGGTTATTAGGACAATCTAAAGTAGGCAGATGCTTTTCCCACAGCATGTGATCCTTTGATGTGAGATGTGGTGGAAGCAAAAATGTGAGAGCAATTGATGGTCTCAGGAGGCTGCAGCAGATCGCTTAGGAAGAGGCGACAGGCATGTCTGGAGTGATGGGTTGGACAAATATTGAGTTTATGAAATACTAATAATAGCGCTGAGACATCCTGCTCCCAGGGTATGTTTACATTGGTAGTCTCCAAGCTCTTCATAAAAGTTGGCCACTGTCATCATCCCCTGTTATAGGTAAAGAATGCGCCTACAGACTCCAGAGGAAGGACATGAATACCTCTGGCTTGGAGCAGGACTGAAACCTTGGGAAAAATACAAACACCTGAAGATTTGTCCACTTGTTTAGAAATATGAAGGTCCTGCTCTCTCTGGCTTGTACTTATTTAGTACTATCATCTGTGATGTTTTAACCACATAAAATTAGAAAAGGGTACAAACTTTCAGACTGATGAAGGGGCTCTGAACTGCAAAGCTTGTCTGTGTTCCCAATTACATAATTTAGTCTAATAAAAGTTACTATCTCTTCTTAGCATCCTTGCAGCTTAGGCCTGCAGCTGGCTGCAGCAGGATCTCCGCTCACGGCAGCAGTGTCTGCGTTAATTTGCATCAGAGTAAATGACCACGCAATGTTCAGGACTGAGAAGAGTCAAAACCCAAACTCCTCTTTGGTTATTACTATTTCAGCAGTGACGGGATACAAATGGAAAACGCTTTGCTAACAGTGGATGAAATCAAAGGGGGGGGGCTTTGCTAGGGCAGCTAGGTCGTCGTTGTGCCTGACTGATATAATTCCCCGTCCAGGATCCAGTTGCGACTGATGGGGAGTTTTACCTGGAGACTGGGGAGATCAGTTCCTGTTTGAACCACATTAATTTGTGTACAAGCTCTTGCTCCATGTCATACCAGTGGGTGACTATGTAAAGGGGCTGATCATCTTCAGGCAATCCCATAGACTAACAAAACAGAGTGTTTTTTAATAAATTCTTTAAATGAACCTATTACATTTGATGTATTAAATGTTACTACGAGGGAGTGGCTTCTTCTAGGCACAGGATATGCAGATATATTTTGAATGTGCCAAAGAAATGTTAAGAATAAGGGCCTAGAAAGGACACCTAAGTGTGGTCACCACCCCCAGCAGCTTACAATAAGATAAAATATTTTGTCTTTAAGCATCGAAAGGTTCACCTCCACACAGCACAGGCCAGTGAATAATATCCACAATTCTATAGCAAATTTCATACAAAATATCAAAAGCCAACAATTATGCTGTGACACTGGAAGACAGCATAAAGGACTGTTTTGTCTCCCTTACCCTCACTGGTATAAAGTTGCACCCAATTTAAGTTACTCATTTAAGCACCTGTGTAGTCAATGGAGAAAATAGGTGCTTCCAAAGAACAGCTTGCCTTTGTGTCTTAGACATTTTTCCTAAGACAGGAAGACCTGCCCACTGGAGATACCTCTGCTCCTGTTGGTATACAGGAACGATATACAAAACAGTCTTGGCTTGGACCTTAAGCATTCAATGTCTAAGGTTCGATGAACCTAATCCACTTTTATTTCTACACTAACAATAAAACATCACTTCATCATATGATTTTTCGTCAATGTGAACCTCTAGCAAAACTTGGCTCCAAGAAACTTCCATTACACTTGCAACAAGGGAACACAAAACTGGAAAGACAAAGTTTAAACTAGAAACTATGGAACCTCAGAAATATTTGGTTTGAATCCAGGGTGCTGTGATTTTCTCTTAGTGTTTTTCATGCTCCTGAGACACACAATAAAGGTGAGGCACCGATGGATCCAGCAGGAGTAGCACCAGAGGGACTTCTCCTTTGAGAATTCAGACCTGGGCTGGCAGTGTGGGGAGGGAGGCATGTTAATAAAAATACCAGGTCAGTGGCCATGCAGCATATGTAATCATGGTGAATTTTTTTTTTTCTTTTTAATTTACCAAATTGAGAAAACCCCTAAATCCGGTGCACTTTTTATGAGAAAGAAGGATGTCCACTTGGTCCAGCTACTCAAGGAAGGCAATTTTCTACACATCCACTCCATAAGAGTGTCAAACCTTCCTTCAGCAGGGAAAAACTAGGCACCCAGGTCCAGTTCTGTGTGGGAAAAGATGGGGAAGGCTCCGTTTCCCCTGCTGGCCCACCAACAGGAGTTCACAGGGAGTAAGCAGCCGGGCTCAGTCACGCTGCCTGAAGAAGCAGTGATTTCTCCCAGCTGAGAATAGAATCACCCTGGCAAAGCCTGTGCTAATGGGAGATTGTTCATCAGCCAGTCACGGATATTCCTAACCAGATCTACACTACAAGAACAACAGCCTACTCCAAGACAAATTCTTGGACTGTGGCCATCTCCAGTCTGGGCCAATGTGCCTGGTAGGAAGAGCTCCAAAGGTTGTTCTTCTTCCACAAGAAAGAAGCAATCAGAATAGGGAGAGACCTCAATTAGAAATGATTCAACAGGAGACAAATTAGATGATCAGATTCAGTTGTGGAAGGGAAACAAATACTTAAGAGGATCGGTATCACAGAATGGCAAATTCCCTCATTTTATACTAATGCCTTTCGTTCACTTTGTATTAGCAGACTGGTTTGCGTTAATCAGATCTAAGTCTCCATCCTGGTGGTGAGGGCTACAAGTCCCAGGAGAGGAGGAAGCCAGAAAACTCTAACAAATTCCATTGTTCATTAATGAAATCAGAGGGAAGACACTCAAAACAGAGTGTCTAGTACATCCAAGCCTTCCCGAGTCAGGCTACACTGGAGCAAACCCAACCGCCATGCTCTATGCCAAGCAGCCATGTCCACCTCTGGGACATGGCACCAAGGTTTTGATGCCACTGAAAGCTCAGGCGTTGCTCGGTGGGTAGATACCAGGGAAGATGGGCACAGGTTGACACTGAGCCGGGGAGGAGGGGATCCTCACCATGTGCAATGATATGAACCCTGCCAGGACAGCAGCATGCACAGCTCCACAGCAATTGCTTTGGATGCAAACGCACAGTAGACAAGTTCACATCACAAGGAGCCAGCACTGTGAAATAGCCATTTTTAGAGCAGTTTATCCCAAATAAGAACAAACCAAAATGAAGATGCCTATCATTGTGCTTGGTTCTGCTTTCATTGTGTGGCATAGCCCTGGAGAACTTATGTTTTGATACTGATCGCCTTTATTTATCCCAAAAAAGAGGAGATCTATCAGAAAACACCCTCAGTACCTTTTCTGACTCTTTCAATAACTTTTGTATGTTTTCACTGTTTATAGTATTTCCAGAGAGACTGAGCTCCTGCCTAGGAATGAATGGTTACAGGACACACACTTACTGTCCCTGAACCTTAGCCACAGCTCATAGACGCTGCTGCAGCTCGGCTGGGGCCAAGTCAGCATCACCACAGACCATATGGAAAACCCAAAGGGTTGCCCCAGCCTTTACTACCCTCTCCGTAGCTGCCAGCCAGGATATTCAAGATCTTTAACAGAGTGGCACTCTGTTAATAATATTACATGTTTCCAGGTGTCTTGAGAGACACTTGTTTTCACATGGTCTCTAATGAGGTGGTTTAGTCTCTTTCTCCCATATACAGAGAACACCTAAGGGAAATGCATCTATGTCTTAAAATAAGGCCAAAGGTACATGTGGTATTATGGAAGACAACGCATATTGTAGGTGTCCATTAATGGCTCCTGATCTATATCAGCAACCCTTAAGCTGGGGAATGTCTGCAGACACCCCAGCTCACCTCTTCATCTTCACAAATGAGAATACCCTGAGTCCTTCACAAGGGGTGAGATTAGTCTGGCCTCTCAGTAATGTCTCCAGCTCAGACACCTCGGTTTCCCCTGAAGTCAACCAAGAGGCACTGACTTTGTTAGGGGGTAACTCACTGACCTACCTCAGATTTCAGCTCCATTGGCCACTGACTGCATCTCTGCAAGGGCAACAGGAGCACCCAGCTCAGGTGCAGGCATCTCCCAAAGACGTGATATGCATGTAACCTGCACAGACTATTGCAGAGCCACAACCACCACGTACCACGATCTAGCCTGGCTCTGGGCTGTCAGTCCCATGTGCATGTGGTATCTGAAGCACTACATGCCACGCGTCTGCAAGCAGAACTAATACAGTGTCAGCTGGTGGTAGCCACAGTTTTCTTGTACCTCAAGTTCCAGCTTGAGGAGGACAAAGACTCCAAGTTTTCTAGGATGCGTTAAACATCACATCCTTTATTACTGCTTCTTGTTATTGCTACCTGATGACCAAGGAGGATGTAGAAACCTTTTTCCTGACTGGGCTGAATTGCAACATGTTATTTAGCTAAAAGCTGGCTAGCTCAAGATGACACACTGACACTTGGAGCATGTTGCAAGTACCACCCGTCAGAGGAAATGGTTAAAAGCAGGCAAATATGCGTAGTCTTCACCAGCTGCTGAAACCACTGTTGCTACCAGTTTCCAGGATGAAAGGCTACAGATCTGCGGGATGCCACGAGAGCCCCAAAAGGAGAAGGGTTCCAGGGAGAAGAGGGAGCCCTGTACACCAAAAAAACTTCCTCCAGCTCTATCAGGTATAAGGACTCACTCGAGAGAGCCGTGTTGAGGCAAAATGTGAGTGCTGCTCATTGAGAACTGCCTTTGGGCAGGAGCCACCAGAATAACCTGTGAACTTCTGAGCCCAGGACAGATATACTGAGCTTGGAAATGTTGTTCCAGATATGACATAATGCTTACAAAGGCTTAAGCCCCTGAGTGGTTATAGAGAAGCATGTCTGGAAGGGACATCAGAAGGTCCCTCTCTGCTCACTGAGGCAGGACCATAATGACAGGGGTGGTGGAAGAGAATATACTTCAGAAGGAGGTTTCTCAAAGCTAGTCAGTACTGTTTAACCTCCTGATCTGAACAAACAGTGCAAAACCCAGATTTCACCACCAGAACCAATACTATGTTCAGTATGTCAGTAAAACCCTACATCATGGTTTAGTTTATCATAGAATCATAGAATGTTTTTTCCGAAAAAACATTTAGGTGTTAAACTACTCATCAGCTAGCTGGAGGAAAGGTGCTTTCATCAACTAGAGTTGCTTCTATAAGAGGAAGGATTCTTCTGAGAGACAGTTACCAAAGAGACAGCTCTTCCATGTCTTACACAGCCAAAGCCAGTTCAATAAATGGAAGCAATCACACAATCAAGAATAGTTCCAGAAATTAAATAACTTTGTGACCAAATGCAGAGGGACTGTTCAGTACAGACAGTTTGACAGTTCTTGCGTACTCAGTATTTTGATATCTACATGCCACTCTCACTGAGAACGTCCAATGACCCTTTTTTCATCTCACACCATCCAAGGATATCAGATCTGTAGCACAGGACACCTGAGAAGCACTACTCTTGAACCAGTACTAACACTGTCCATAGTCGCTGCATTATAGAGCAGTTTTGTATCACAGACAGACCCAGCGGATCACAGGTCCCGCTGTAATCACTCTCACAGCAATGGAAATTACCCCACAAGGATCACCTCTGAAAGTGTAGAAACTATCTAGCCCTTCCCTTGCTCATAGAGATGGTTTGCTAACCTGCAGACAAGATATCCACCTACGCAGGAGATTTGCAGCATGAAAACTGAACACAAAATTATCCTTGTTATAAAGGCAAAAACTCTACCTGAAGAACTACTAGAATAGGAAGAACAGAGCCCCAAACAGGGAACTACCAGCAGCTATTACCCAGCTAAGCCCTTTTCCTGCATGCAGAGGTTAATAATGGGATGCCTACAAGCAAACCTCTCCCTACTCAAAGATCAGGCTACCCAAATGAAGATCGAGCTCTCCAAGTGCAGAATCCTCCAACCAGAAACAGTCCTACACAGCAAAGAGAGCCCAGATATGGTCCTAACCCATCTCTAAAGGCCCCTTCCCAACAAAAGCACACGACAGACCAAGGCTAACAGTGACCTGCCAGATACTTTATAAGGGCTAATGGCCTTCCAAATAAGTAATTTTTTCAAAGAGGCCAACTCCTTAGTATGTTTCCAAAACTTTAAGGACAACTGCTGCCAACCTCATCTCCTTTGAGTCAAGAGCAGAAGCGTTTGTACAAACTGTCCTCCGAACTAATCCAGCTCTGCAGTGGGTGTCACGCGAAGCAAGGGGGTGTGCCCCAGCCAAATCAGATTTACTCAGGGGACACAGCCCCAGTTGAGCCTACGACTTGAAGCCCGACGTTTCCACATCAGAACCAGTTCTACCAGATGAGCCATGCCCCAAGCCAGGAGAAGTGTATAAATGGAGCCACTCCCTAACCAAAGGGCATCCAGCGCTGGAGAGTATTCCTCTCACAACAGCAGTTCTCCTTCTCTGCAGAAAATGCCATTATTCTTCAGGTGACCTTTCCAAAGCAATGACCAAGTCTACAACCGAGAGCACTGCGCAGTGCAAAGCAGGGCTTTCTTTGGAGAGAGCCTGCCTGCCTGGGACTAACTTCTCAAAAGCAATATTTTCCCTAGGCAGAAGCCATCTGCAGGCCCATGTTTAATCGTTCTGCCATCCCTCCCACTACACTTTTATGCTCTTTAGTCAGAAATTCCCTAGAACAAGTTCCAGTTTATATAACGTCTCTCTTTCCTATTCCAGAGGAATTACAAAGCTTCTGAAAGTAGCAAGCCAATGCCACGGGTGCTCCGGCTTGGCCAGGGCTAATTTTGCATGTGTTAAACATGAAGTAACTGGGCACATGGGAAGCTAAGGTTTCATGACGACATGCTAACGGGCGAGTGACATTTCTTGGCATACACACTCTGGGACATACTCCTACTCAAGACAAAACGAGGGAGGCTGAGCAGAGAATTAGCCAGAGAAATCTGGAAATCATCATTCAGACGTGAAAAAGGGTATGATTTGGCTCACACTGCTGACTGTGAGGGGGGATTGTCTCAATATCTACGTCATGCCTTGGGTCAACAGCTCAATAATCTCAGGCCTTTGGTGTGAGTTACGACAAAGGCTATGAGCCCTGTTAATTAGTCTCACACTTATGCTGCAGTGTGCAAATTCTCTTTTGGACCAGAGACCACCAGGAATGAGCTTGGGAGCTTCTAGGGTTTGTGTGACAAGCTGCCATGTCTGTCCAGGAGTTGAGATAACTTCAGGGTCGGTGCAGAGCAGGCCCTCTTGACAGTGGTGCAGCAACGGTAGTGCAGTAGCCCCTGGAAATGCTTGTGGAAGATGCAGACCCTCCTTCTCCAGCCCATTGAAACACTACAACCTTGAACTGCAATGTTTTGCCGTTCAAAACATGCAAACCATAGTCTTCCAAGACTATGGTTTGTGCAGACCAAGTCTCTTCCAAGACTATGGCAGAATATGGTTGGTGCTCCAGAGCCGGAGGCAGCGTAGCCATCAGCATCAGGGCAGCTTTAAATCAACATCACTGTAATGTTATCAAAACCCCACTAGGTTTTTTTTAGTGAGAGCTCTGCTGCACTGCACAGATATATCCAGCTTGGGAGTGTCTGAGCTCATTGGTGTGTTTTATATGCCCTGTTGTTGTAGGCAACACTTACAGGAAGGGACCTCATGCTGAGACGTGAAGGACCATCCTCCACCCTTGAGTAATTCCTAACCCCAATGGGACTGGTGCTCTGGACAGGAAGGAATTGAACAGCTTCCGTTCCCTCCTCTTTCCTGGCTAGGTAAATTATTCCAATTAGGCTATGTATTTCCATTTCTGACTCAATTTTTTCTGGAACCCAAATCAGACCTTTTGGGCGAATGAAGCGAGGGCCAGGTGGAAAGACAGAGGGGTAAATATGACTGCTCAGCAGGTTCTCAGCTCTGCTCTGAGTCAGACCATCAGGAACCAACTCCTTCAAAGTTAGTTGATTTTTTAGGTTTGTTTTCTGCCAAATCAAAGCAGTGTGACAGCCAGGACAGGCACCAAACACCAGGCTTTCCACTCTTCACCTTCCCACCCTCATCTTGCAAAGGAGCTGTCGGCTAATACCACCACAGGGACTGGGGGATCATCTTGCCCAACATCACGCAGCTACAGCAGAGATATATACACTGAGCCAGCCATATTCATTTCCCTCCATAGCCCATGAAAAGAAATAAGCCCTTTAAGAGTGTGACTCATCTGACCCACTTTAGTCTCTACTGCAGGATGCGATTAAGCGCGGTGTGCACTGGTGAGCAGATCTCCAGTGGCTATAAAGCAGCTCAGGTGACTAGCTCTGATGGACAGACCTCCACAGCAGATGTCTACATTTACTCAGATTCAGCTCACTGCAGCAGACTTACTTGGAGCTGGACTGAGCCTGTCCATAAACCACGTCCTGCTTGCAGCTCATCATGGGCTGGGCATAGACCACATCGGGCTTGTTGCTTGAGGGGCAGGAGAGGGCCCGTGCTGGCATTTTTTTACTTGTCCTGGTAGTTCCTTGCTGGGTGCTACAGCTGCTGTAGATGCTCTGGCGGTTCAAGGTTGCCTTGTGTTCTGCCCGGCCCCCCACCTGACTCTTCCTCAGCGTGCCCCTGGGCGGTTCGCAGTAGAGGTCGGGCTCGCTCCGGCTGCTCTTGATGTTCTGCACAAAGCAGTAGTCGCTGCCGGCCCTGGCGGGGCTGCAGACAGCCTTGCTGTAGTGCTTGCTGCCCCAGCCCTCCATCTGGCTGTACGAGCTGTAGCGCCTGTTCTCCACGTCCCGCTTCAGGGTCCCATTGTACAGCTGGTCAACGAGAAAACAAGAGACAAAAAAATTAGGAAAGGGTTGAGCTGCAGATCAACATTGCCAAGCCCACTCCTGCGTGGGTGTCACGGCTACCAAATTCCTATGCCTCTTAAGTATTTTTTGTGGCCCAAAATTTATGGAAGGTTAGCCCACCTGCAGCTCTTACAAAGGTGTCAAACCCTCCCTTGAAATCTGGGGACACTTAGTGATCAGGATACGGCATCCCAGAGCTTGAAAGCAGAATTGAAAGCTCAAACATGACCCTGGCATTAGAGAAAATGCCTTATTTTCAACACATGGGGTCTAACCCAAGCTGTAATTAGCGGAGCTCACATCACATCTCTTGCCATCACAGAGAATGATGCCCCGTTCTGACCTTCCAGCACTGCCTGCATTTATTTCTAATTTCCTCATGCTATTTTGTTCCCCTTCCATCTATAAGTTCCTTAGGAAAGGAGTAAAGGGAGTGAAAAATCAGTAAGAAGGGATTCTTGAATCTCACTGTGCCAAGAAACAAGTGGAGACAACGAATATCTGCTTATGAGTTACAAGGTGTGTAGTGTCAGCTTATATAATGGGATGCTCTGAGAACAATGGAGGATATGCAATAAGAATTGAGATGACTAAGCCAGGAAGGAAAAAGAAAAGAATAAAAGACAGTAAAAAAAGACAACTGCAATTAATCAAATGAAAAAATGGCTTTAGCTGGTCTGCTGTCAGTTCAAAATTTGTCCACCACTTCACCAAAAGTCCTCCAGATTTGCCTCAAGTACGCCAGGATTGAATCCACTATTCTTTTGCAATATTAAACCTTCTGGATGTCAATGCTGGCACCTGGAAGCCTGCAGGGTTGTATCCAATGAGAGACAAGTCACTAAGGTGTGTACTATAGAAAGGAAAATAAATAAAGCTATTTTAGTGCTGTTTGCCCCATAATATTGAGTTTTTCCACTGCATCCCCCTCAGCACGCTGGCAAGCAGATCTCCAAGACATAGAGCAAACAGGCATAAAAAGAACTAAAGAATAAAACTGCCTGCCCCACCCCCCTTCAGTTTATCTTGGAAAAGCTCATCTGTGGTCTCTTGTTGGGCCAAGGTCTTTTTTTCTCACCTAACTTTAAGCGGCAGTACTTTGGATGCCTCTTTCTGCAAAAGCCACCCAAGGATCCCTTGAGCTGGGAAAGAAGAGTCAACACTGGCACCTTATTATTTCCCCGAGGTTCAAGGCACAAGGTGTGAAAAGCCTGTGCCTGGTGCAATTGTTCATGTCACTGAAAAAAATCCATACTTCTTAACCTAGAAACTGCACGTGACAGAGAAATTGGAATCCTCTGCAGGCTCACCCTGAGTCCCGCTGCTCTGCCCCAACTTCATCCCAGCCCTGAGCACACTCAGCATCATTTCTGTCTCCAACACTCTGCAGAATTGTCATTATGTTAATTAATTAAGTCAAATATTTCCATTTACAAACTGATCTTCTGGAATGCAGTGAATCCTCTCTGCTGTGTCCCAGAGAGTTGCACAGGTAACGGCTGAAAACTTTTAAAAGGGGTTACCTAGAAGGCATGCCATCTGGATAACAAACCCTTCAGTCCAGCTACGGTGGTACGCAGGTTGCTCTGTCATTTGAGCACCAGTCTGAAGCAGTTTTCATACTTTCATTCTGCAGGTTTGCATCTAAACAGGTGAATTGCTGGAAGGGGAGAAAAGGGGAGCAAATTCTCTTTGCGTTTACTCCAGAGGACACAGAAAAAACCTGTTAGTACTGCAGCACAGCAGGTAACAGGTTTGGTGCATACTGCAGAGCTCCCAGGGATTTGGAAGAAGAATTTGCATGTGATAAGAAGAGCAAGGACGAGGCACATGGGTAAGTGCGATGAGTCTCGGGGGCTCCCGTGGCAGAGGGGCACCCCACTGAAATTTCCAGGATGGCCATGCACAGAGGTTCTCTCCATCCCGGTTTTGCTTTGGATGCAGCACGCATGCAGCAACGGCAAAATGACCTTTCATGAAGCCATGATCTACCCCACTGCGGATGAGTATGTCCTTCTAAGGGTGATATCATCCTCATTTTTTCTTAATTTTCCTGGGTTCAGAAACCCTCGGGACGGTGAGGGACAGGACAGGGCTGCAGCAGGAAGGTGCAGGGTGGACTTTGCTACTCAGAGGAGCGGGGAACCCACTTCCAGGGCTCGCTGCTGGCAGCAGCTGGCTGGAGGACAGAGCAGCAGCTTGTTAGGTGTGAGCCCTGTCGTTTTTCTTTATGAGTCAGTACAAGCTGGGATCATTTTGTAGGGCTGTCAGAAGCTTGGCAGAGCCATGGAGCCCCTGGGTATTTGCTGAAACCAATTCAGCCGACCATGGAAGAGCTAACTGGTTATTTATCTAAAGCTATTGTTTGCTCTCCAGTGTACTCACATGGGCTCTCTGCCAGCAGAACGGGCGAGGGAAGCTGTGAGTGTGTCTGTGTTTATAGATACAGAATTATCAATTCTGTATTTCCTGCTGTGTTTTATAGTGGCATATAACATTGTCCTCTTTCTTGCCAGCCCTGAGATGAGTGGAGCAAAGTGACCGCCTGTTTGGAAAGACACCTTTCTGCAACACAGGGAGCCCTGAGAGGCAAGTCAGTGCAGGTCCTGGCAGGGCGGGGAAGCCTTTTGCAAACTCATGGGAAAATAGTTCCCGTGTGATGTGAAGCTCATTACCAAAGTCAGTGCATGACTTTTATTGCTGATTCTACCAGATGCTTGGCTGAGCCCATTTTAATCTCTTTCAAGTGGCACGGACCTAATTGGTATCTTAGAATTCCTCTTTGCAGCAGGAGCCTGATCCAAAGCCTCCAAATCGATGAGGAGTCTCCTGCCGGCTTCAGCGGATTTCAGACCTGCTTGCCAAACAGTCTCTATGAATCCTTGCACAGCCATAGCTGACCTGATCGCTTCTTGATCTCGGCAAAGTGCCGTGTCTGTGCCTAAAGAGCACATTTCTCACACTAGAACCCGTGTCCCCATTTCAGATGTCCACCAAGCTAAGTCAGACACCTTCACTTCTAACACTGGAGCAAACGTGGCCCAGGGAATGGAGTTCCCCGTGTTGTTATCTCTTCGCTGGATGCAGCGATCAGTGAGATAGGATGCACAGCAAGGTAGAAGCGAGGCACTCCGCCGTCTGGAGAAGAGATGACATCTCTGAAGGTGAAGGTGATGCTATTACATAGTCTGTGGTTTAAAGAGCCACCTGACAACAATCTTGTAACTTTTGCTGATGCCATTATGTGTGTAGAGTGAGCTCTGCCTATGCAGAATAGCATTAGTGAAAGGAAATAATCAATCTCTCACCTTCAAACCTCATAAACCACCCAGATTTCCTAACACCTTGAATTGCATCTGCCCACTGCTTGTGGGTGTTTGCGTGGGGGAGGTGGGCCAGGTCCACACCTCCTCCCTTTAGGAGTGTGGAGAAATGCTGGAAAAGACAAGGAAGTCCCTCAAAGCGGGGTGGAGACAGAAAGCAGTGATTCCATCTGCACTGCAAGATCAGGAAACCGTTCTAAAAGAGCACAGGCTGTCACCAAGACTTCTCCCCATGGGACCTGAGAAGTCAGGGCAGCTTGGCAGGTCTCTCCTTTCAGCCAGACACCGTCACGCACTGGCAGTCCCCCGCACTCGCAGGATGCAGGAGGATGCTCACGTGCAGCCGGGCAACGCCGACATCCTGAATTTTAGCCTGAACTTCGCCTCCCTACTGTGAAACGAGCCTGTGTGTTTGAGGCCAAGCCTTGGGAGCCGTTCATTCATATTAAAACAAGGAGGGGAGGCACGGGGAGGAAAGGCAGTGAAGATGAGCACTGATAGCGCACAGGTGCTCTTATCAGGCCCAAGGAGTAAGTGCTTTCCTTCACTGGCAGCAGCAAAGACCTGCCTTTAGATTAATAGCCACTTACGGATCACCAGTTCTCAGCCTGCAACACGGGACCATTTTAGGAACATCAGTTGGAATATCCAACAGTCGCACAAGACAGGTAAATAACATCTTTGACCTCTTATTTCAACTGGAATAAAACTGGTGCTAGAGAGAAAATCAAAATGGCATTATCCCAACCATTGATCATGAGTCCTTTTCTGTCTCTTTCTTCCATAAACCCTTTTGGTTAACAGGAGAAGTCCGTCTCCTCGTCCCGCTTTCCAGAGAAGCAGAAGCACAGGGCAAGGCGCACCAGCCCCTGGAATCGCCCTCCGATCTCAGCGCTGCCTTTCCACGTCGGAGGCCCTCCCGGATAACTGGGTGTTTCTGACTTCTGCATCTAAGGACGCGATCAGTTCATTACCTAGCTCTAATTTTTTCCCTTGCAATTTGTTTGTTTCTAGAGCAGCAGACAGAGAGAAGTAAAGGACTCCGTATAAACACGTCAGGAGCAGGTTTCTCCCAGGCTGGAGGGCAAAGCACAGGCAATGCAACATGACAGCGTCCCACCCTGAGTGATGGGTGGGGAAAACTCTTCATGCTACTTGCGAAATGCTTTAGCTGCTGCCTGCTACACACTCCATCGCAGGGAGAAAAATTGCAAAACCAGCAAATATATTGTTTATCTATTTCTGAAACGTTCTTTCCCACCTCTCCTGGGTGCTTTTTCATCTGGTTCTTTATGCAGCTGAGATTTAGGTCTTGATGGTTCAGTTTGTCCTGGCCAGGGAAGGTAATGTCCAACTTGCTACTCCAAAGCATAAAGCCTCTTGCAAAACCTCACAGGGAGACCAGCGTCTGACCAAGAAATGATGTGCAACAGCTCTAGATCTTTGTTTTCTTTGACAAGATTGCCCAAACCACTCTATTTTGGGGGTTCTTTTAAACCTGAATGTGTCATCACGACAAATGACAAATTTTGTCCTGAAATCCTTATGGAACAAAGTTCGCGCTGACAATGAGAGATTTTTGCCCACAGAGGCAAAGCCAGCCAGGGATAGCAGGGAATGTTCCCGTCTCATGGCGAACACCTCTCATGCAGATAATGCATTTGGGAGAGAAAGCTCTACAACTTTCTCCCATGGAGAACATTCGTTTAAGAACAGTCTCCAGTGCAGAGGGATCACCAAAGTGCATGTTTTTCATTAGTGCCATAACGGACATAATTGCTACAGAAACCAAGCTGCATGGGCCAGTGCAGCACAGAGCCCGAGACCCCAGCAGTGGTGCCTGAGGAAAGCAGCAGTGAGCACTGGTGGCCCAGTAACCACTGGCCCCCTACTGTTATGTGCCAGGATCCAACTCAGTTAACTGCTTTAATCGGAGCAGCATCAGACATGCCAAATATTCCTCGGTCTGGGAGCAGGGCTGCTCTCAGAAACGTGACTCACTACAAGCCCCAGGCTGAGGTCAGCTCTGTGGGGATGATGATCTGCTCACCTTGCTGGAGGCAGAGCACCCTACCGCCCGAGATGCGCCTGCTTCCCTACCCAGCACACCAGGGGCTTGTTTGCCCCTCCTTCGGGGCAGCGCCGGGGGGCACGCTGCGGCTTACACCCACACCACGCCGGTATATTTCCTTCTTGCGGAAGCAGCGGCACGGGGAGGTTGGGTGTGCTTCTGCGCCTTGTCCTGATACTGCATCATCTCGACAGTGGGGACCTGGGAACCCCCCTGACTCTCTAGCAGGGATGGACCTGCCAACCCAGCAGAGCCAGGCAGGAGCAGTATTGCTGCAGGTGGGAATTAAGCCTCAGAGGGTCTTTGCTGACGGCATGCATCCTGGCCCCACATACTGCCTTCCCTTGGTGTTTGGGATTTGGCTGTGCATCTCCAAAGCTGTGCCTGCAGTTGGGGTGAGCAGCACACTCGCTGCAACGCACGGGCCACCGGCCTGTGACAGTGGCTTTGAGCCCAGTGCTGAACAGATCCCGGTTTTGGGGTAGTATTGAGGTGTCAGAGTCAAGAGTGCAGCTCATGCTGAGACTTCTCCTGCCTTGACTGCACTGCTCTAGGTGCCCAGTTTAGCTTACTTAAACCTCCCTCAGGTTTGTCTGTGTAAATTGTGGTCACCACTGCACCTTCTGTGGGACCTCAGGCACTGCTCAGGCCTTACATCAGGGCATGGCATAGCCAGCTCCTGCGGTCGGGTGGCTTTGGGAACTGGTGGCCATTCATAACTGTAGGGTGACAAATGTCTCTAAGCGTCTTCTGGGCTCAACAGCACCTGGATTGAAAGATCGCCTAACACAGAGAGGTTTGGAGTCACTAATGCACCCATTACTGCATCCCACCATGGTCACTGTGCAAATGGGACTGAGGACTTCATCCCTGAAGGCTGAGCCAACCCCTGACACGTGAGCCAAGGAAATACTGCAGCCAAGTGCAAACCTGCTGCCCTCAGAGTGCCTGTTTCTGGAGTGGTCCTGCTGATTTCAGTGTTACCTACTGATAATGAGAAGCTACTCATTGCAATGCTAGTTAACAAGGTCCTACAAACAAGGCACGCCACAAGAGGAATAAACAGAAAATAGTCTTTAATAACGGGCAAATCAAAGGTTTTAGTCAGAAGTGTTGACTGATTCAGGGAGAGCTCTTCCTCCAGATCTATAATTTCTTTTGCTCTAATATTTGAACATCAGTATTGTAGGTTGGGAAGAAAACTCAGAAGCAAAAAGCTTGAGATTTCCGAGAAGACACAAAACAAGACAAAAGGAGGAAGTCAGGAATAATAGTTTTTAAGAGCTGTGGATGAGACAAGATACCTCCTGTCATTTAGAGTCACCATCTAAAGCAATGCCTTAGATTAATGCAATCTAAGAGCAGTGTCTAAATTGCAGATGCTGTGGAGCAGTAACATGGTCATGGATTGCCTGTTACACCTTTTTAACTCCAGAAGTATTAAGAGTAAGTAATTTTCCTGAATACTATACTGGGTCATTTCCCTGAAATATCTGAATTTGCCTATGCATCTCATAGGACTTTGCAACTTCTCAGAAACACTCACAGCGCCAGCTCCAGCTGGAAAGAAGTCCAGCAATTTTGTCTTCAAAAATAGATTTGCTTTATCTTTGTTTTCATGTCTTAGAACCCAGTAATTACAAATAGGAAATGTTTTTTAGAATGCCTAGAACCTGTACAGACTTCAAACAGGTCTGTATACCAAAGTTAAAGTTAACCCAAGGTGGAGGCTGGTCGTGGATGTGTGTAAACCTTTAATGCTTTTCTGGAAGAACCAAAATGGAGGAGGTTCCTCGGTGTGATTGGGGAGTATGATGTTTGTTAAGCTTGTTAAGCAGATTTAGGCTTAAGGTTATACGTTCCAATGTGCCAATGGCACTTGGGACTCATCGCCCCTAACTGCAGTCATCTACCTGCTAGGTGACTGCTCCGATCCAGCTACCAGTGGAAGGAGATAGGCATCCAGAGGGGCTGATTCATCCTGACCTGACAGATCTCCAAGATAGGAGGAGATGAATCACCTCCTCGTACCTTTCTCTTTGTTGGCTATGGGAGGAGTCTAGATGAGTTGTCAAGACTAAATGGCTGATTTTCAGATAGACACAGTTAGGTATGACAAATTTTACTGTGAATCCTTCACAAGTCCCAGTCCCTTTTTCTTAAGTAGCCCAGGTCCTGAAGACCTTTACCAAAAAATTCTAGAATGAAAGGCTTGTAAGACACTTAGGTTTGGAGAAAGACCTTCCCTCATCAGTAAATGCAGAAGAGCCCTTCAGAGAAAAGCCATGAGCTGCGTAAGTCCATGGTGAACCAGAAGTGACTGAATTGCTATGTCCACAGTACTCTGTGGTGTCTAATGGAGGTCCTGATCTTCGTAATCATTTTGCAAGCTGTTCACCAGAACACCAACATTGCTGGACTGAAATCCCCAGCAGCCAGTGGCATTTCTAACTACCTAGCATTTGTACCTAGCTGTCGTAATGATTGGGAAGAAGATCAGGAATGAACAAAATTAAACAATAATCCTCATACCAGCAACACCAGCTGCAGTACCACCTTGCCAGCACGAGCATGAGCTGGAGGGACAACTGCAGAGCTGGGGCTTAGCTTCCTCTCTCTTTAACAAAAAAAACCAGCTAGAAACTACTGGAATGGCTGGAACAGAGCAATTTTGCTTAGACAAAACATAACAAACTCCATTCAGGAATCACAGTAGACAAACAGCAATATATAATTGAAACAAAACATCATAATCATTTGACTTACGAAGCTCAGAGACTCCACCTCTGGCTCAGGAGGTCCCTCAGTTGCAAATTTCTGGTGGCCACAAAAACATTCTGGGATGCATCATGCCTGCTTACCATGCTTAGACCCTTTTGCAGGGGCCCATCACTGCCTTAGTGATGGAGACAGGACACTTGGCTGGGCGGACCTCTACTCTGACCCATCATAGTCAGCCTTTTGGTCTTAGACCAGGCAGAAACGCCACTGTCTGGGATTTAACCAGCTCAGAAAAGGACATTGAAACAAGTCAACAGACAGTCTGTAAATAAAAATTTCAAAGACATGCCAGCGCTCCCAGTTCTTCCTACTGAACATGCAGTAGGCAGCAAACCCAGTGATGCAAACCTAGCAAGTGACATGGCTGCCTTGAAGCAAGCATGCTACACCAAGGCCATTAAGAAAGACAACAGATAAATCTTTCTGAAGCTGAGGAATGCTGATGCTATGAAGAGGCAGAGGATCTGGCAACTACCAGGAAAAGCTTCAACCCTCTGTCTGTGTGCTTGAAGCCAACATAAGCAACTTTCCTGGTTCAACCCTTTGATGGTTGTCAGGGAGCTGCTTTACAGTCCCAGAGTTGTTGAAAGGAGCCCTTTCTTTTTCCCATATTCAAATCCCAGATCTGTGAATCGCTCCTTTCTACATTATAGCTGATGAAAACCAAGGAAGAACAGAATATAGGTCTGAGATGGCAGGGCAACATGAGCACAAGTTGTTGTCCCAGTACACGATGGAGTGGTTTGGAGTGATTCCCAGTGTACCAAGAGTCTGTCACCAAGGACAAGACCGGGACCTCTGTGGGATGTATAAACTCAGATTGCACAAAGACAAGTACTATCTCACCTGTGCTTTTTCTGGCAATCTGTAGTATTTTCTTTGGAAATCACTATAGGATAAGTGGACTGCCTCTCTTCCAAGCTCAGAGAATATCTGAAAAGGGTCTGCACTAGTATTGAGATTGGGAATAGCAACACAGTTATAATGCAAATTCCCTGATCGTCACCACTCAACCACATTAATGTTGTTCAAAGAGAAGTTTTGGTACATGGAAATAAAAATGGAAACTGTTCCATGTGAGCAATGGATGTGCTCCAAACTTAAACTGAGTTGTAAGAGTCTGAACCCATGACTGATCCTTCAGACAGCTTCAAACCTCTTGTGCCGTGTGGATGTTAATCCACAAAACCAAACTAAATCTTGTCTGCACTAAAATCCCCAACCAACATAGATATAAGGCCCTCGATCATCCTCTTCCATTGCATTGAATTACTTTCTAAGATAGCTATAGCCATGCGTCATGTCTCTCGGGCAAGTTTCTGAAGTGCTATGACCTTGCTACATGACTGCTCCTGCTAGAGGGTGCTTTCTGTACGGGTTACCTCAAGAGTATGCCACAGTTCCCAGATAAAAGAGTATCTTACCGGATATCCCCAGCTGCTGTTTCCTGTTTGGGTTTTGGCGTAATAGCTGCCCCGGGATGTCCCATAGCCATAACCATCAGCTAAACCGTCATACATGGAACCTGTAAATGGAAAAAGCATGGTCAGCAGGAGAAAGCAGTCCCAGCAGGCATCCCTTCAGAGCATAGCGCTCTTTTTTCCAGTGAGTTTAATTACTGAAGAACAACAGAGTTAGAAACCTTAACAGGAACGTAGGAAAGACAGGCACTAGGCTGAGCCTTTGCCATTGCAGGCAACTCATAGAAGATGTTCATTTCAGAAGAGCTCTTGGAAACTCCAGCCCTCAGACCACAAACCTTAGGTTTTCTAAGTTTTTCTGCACAAAAGACCAAGTGCCATGGAATCTACAGTGGACAAGAACAGATAGGGTCAGAGACCGGGCCAATGTCTCTTTTCTGCACAAAAGACCAAGTGCCATAAAATCTACAGTGGACAAGAGCAGATAGGGTCAGAGACCGGGCCAATGTCTTTGGTCTCTGCTATATGAGAGGAACTGGATGATATTTTGTGCTACACATCCTAGAAGGTCTGAACCTGGAACATACTTCCTTTATTCTGACTTGGAGGTAAATAAAATTTGCCTCTTCTCTGAAGGCAAAACCAGTCTGGCTTTTCTGGTCTGAATACTAACAATCACATCAACACAAGCAGCCTGAACAAGGCTTGCTAAATTCAATAAATAATAAATAACAAACATGATGGGTAAATTATGATCAAGTCTATTTAACACCTGGGGATCTGAAATAGTCAAACACTAACAAACCTAATTGCACTGCCTTAAATTTCAATCTCCAGTCTCTAAAAGATCACTCTGTGTATTTGTACTTTCTTTTCCTGAAAATGTGTTAAGCTCCATCATTATTTTTGGGGCGCTGGGGAGGTATGTGAGACTAGATCTCAGATACGTTCTGTAAAGATGCAAAAATCTTGGATCAGGGGTAACCCATCAGCCATTTCTACTACTTCTCAGTGCTTTATTCAGAGTGTTTGGATTTACCTATCCCAGCCCTACTAAAAGTTCTTCCAGCTGTCTCTCACCAGTAGCCCTTGGCAGTGCAATCTTTGGATCCTTCCTAAAAGTATTTTACCCATTCCTACATTCATCACTACAAGGAAAAATGAAGCGAGTCATTCTCTAATTCCTTTAACCCCTTTCAGATCATCCAAAAGAGTTTGAGGTCATTTAAGTTTCATTTTCAAGAGTGCTCAATAATTGTGGCATCCCAAGTCCCGTTATGAGGAAGTGCAAACCCTACACTCCAATTAACTTCCAGGGGAAGCTCTGAATGTCTAACAAAGTATGAAATCAGGACTTACCTGTCTTAAGTTATGCACCTAAACTGGTGGGTAATGTCAGAAATATCCTAATCTCTCTGATTGTTTGATAAGACTCATCTCTTAGATAAACTGGATAAGCTCGACCACAAAGGCCCTGAAGCCACTCAGGTCTTCTACAGCCACTGATCCTTGGAATAAATCTAGTTTATTGCCTTGCCTAAGGCATCCAGAACCTGTTATGGTGATTTGGTTCGTGGCTAAAAATCCTTGCATTTTCTCAGGAAGATGATTCCCGTAGATGTGGTATAAATAACGAGATTTGCTTTCTATTGTCAACAAGAGAGGAGCAAGACTGCATGGATGGCAGCATCTGAAGAACATCACTGAATGCAGAATAAGCAACAGCAGAGTAGTTTCACGGACATACACTTGTGCAGAAAACCACAGGATCTCGTTTTCCATAGTCGAGACTTGGTGGGCATTGTTCCCTGTTAATATCTCTCCAGCCCTGATTGCTTCATATATATTAAGTTGCACAGAACTTGCTGATAAGGCAAGGAAATTACCATTGACATACAACGGGAGATAAAATTCAGTGTGCCCTTCACCTTGTGCTTCCCTCCCCACCCTGAGATATCCCAGAAACCCCAGATCAGGACATTAGTGTTGGGCTTCAGCAGAAGCAAGGCAGGGCTTGAAATGGTAAGTTTGGAGTAGGTGATTCACCAGGGGACAGAGTTAGCTAGTAACACTAGTTCTGAGCACAAAGACAAAACAATCCCATGATAACAGTTTCCTGGGAATTCCTTCTTACAATCAACCTTTTGTTCTGTGCAAACATCATGTAACTGCAGGCAGGAGTACCTTGGAGCATTTTCCTGACACTGTGAGTGAGCAGTTGGAAGAAAGGATTTCTGGGCATGACTCACAGGTTAATCTGACCAGTCCTCCCTGGAGACCATGCTTTTCCTTTCAGGATCCATTCTTGCCATGCACTGCACTAAAGACTTTGGGGTTGAGCAAGGAGACACCAAAAATAAGCCAGTTTAGGCACATCTCTAATTTTCTTGTAGAAATTCACAGCTACATGGCCAAATTCAAGAGACCAGGCAGTTCATGCAAGTTTATGTTCTTCAGTTGTTGAAGAGTTGCCTCAACCTCCAAGGACTTGTATATAAGAGCTTATAAATATATAATTACATATAACCTCAAATGTTCAAGGCATTTTGAGGCCGCCTTGCTGATTGGAGAAGATGCTTCTCCTGCCGCCACACAACTGTGATTTATTGCTTGGAGAGCTCAGTCTGAAGGCCAGGAAGAACCTGGGGATTTTCTGATGGAGGTGGCTAAAGAAAACATCGTCTTTGTTTAGCCCTGCAAGTTTAGACACTTCTCTGCCTGGTTCATGATGAGAGCCAGCTTGGAGATATATCACCAGCCCTCGGGGAGAGGAAGGATATTCTTCTTTTCAACCACCTCAAGGGTAAAGACCATAACAGCTGGTCACAAGTCCTGAGAATCTGGGATAAAAACAGACTATCCCCTGAAAATTTTTGAATATTTTGGCAGGGGATGGAAATGCTCTTTGGGGGAGATGCCTCCCTGGTGCTTTTTTCTAGCTATGTCCATAGGTCTGTGTCCCATGTGTTGTCACCCAAGCAGCTGTTTAGGTCTCTGAAGTGCCCACTTGCACTTGGACAAACACAGAGCCAATTAAAACTGCTGTATTAGTAGTAGATAACAGATGGGACAGAGGCAGAAAAGACATGGATGAGAATCACCCAGATGAAGCACAGCCTCCCAGCAACCGTGGCTGTGGGCAGAAAATACCCCCAAGGGCTGCTCAGGCGCTGGCTGGGCTGTCGTAGGGACCCCTCTCTCCCACCCCCAAATTGTCATTTCCCCAAGGCATTTCCTTCAAAACTTGGTCAATCTAAAATCTCATTTAACTTCGGTGTGACAGTTCACGAGGGTAAAATCTACAACAGGTAAGGATGGCAAGATCTTGCACTTAATCACTGTGAGCCCCACTACATGCTCGCCTTGCCTCATCCTCCTCTCTATACCCGTTATCGATCATTGCAGAGCAAACTGAGACTTCCATCTAACCCAATATGCCTGTGCTTGATGAGTTATTTACTTTCTTCAAAGGCAACTTTACACCCCTTGAAACTAAGAGACTGATGGCGAGGAGAATTGTGTCAGAAGAGACATTTCTCAAGTACAACAGTGAAAGACTTCAGCTGGACACATAAAGCTAACAGGGAGCATTGTGGAAGTGGATGCATGTTAATAAATATTAATCTGTGGCAGGGAAAGGCAAGACAAGAACCCGTCACTGGTAGTGCAGGCTAGACGAGTCAAATAATAAACTATGCATGGCTTTAAAACAATAAGGATGATTAAACATAGAAAAAACGTAGCAAGAGAAGAGGGCCTGTGAGAGGCACGAAGCAAAGCCTGGATGCCTCCTAGGAGAGAAGTGCTAGTGAAATCCCAGAAGCTGAGATTCTTGCAGGAATGACCAAACTTCATTTCTGCCGTCTGGCCTACGAGATAAAGGGTTTTGGTATTTTTTTCTATACCAATAATCTAAGGTTTGTGGAAGAGTGGATGGCTTTCACTGAACCATCTCATGCTGGGGGAAGGTTACAGAAGTCTTCAAAAGACTTACTATCCCCAAAATCTCCTCTTCCCTTCACATCAGAGTAATGACCCCCATTAAAGCTAGGTGGGATCCCCCTAGAGCTAGGTGGGATTTCTCCCCTCTCAGCCACAGCCATCATAGCAAATCTCTAAATCACAGCTCAGCCGCGAGACATTTGGATACGACACTCCTTGGTTGGGTTTCCTCAGATCTTTGCTCCCTGCTATACCTTGCCAGCCAGTGACGAGTCACTGGCAAAACTTTTCTTTAGCCAGAGGACCTTGCAGACTAGCGCTGTTGGCTACAAGGAGCTGGTTCAGCTTGGCCTGGCCTTTTCTCCTGCTATGCCACTGAAATTCATTTTCCCTGGAAATTTGCATTACTCGCAAATTCAGAGGGAGCCATCCAGTTAGCTATTCCCATGGTGAGAAGGGCAGATATGCCCTAGGGCAGACCCCACAGACCCAAAACCCAAGGAAGGCAGACTCCACAGACCCAAACTCTGCAGCCGTCCTTGGAAACACCCATAGCTGCTGTGCCGAGAAAAGGTCCCACTGTGGGTGCAGGATTATGCTGCTTGCAACGGGTTTCTGCTCACTGCACTACCCCAGTGCACCCCAGTTTGAGCCCAGATGGATCACCTTGCCCTGCTGTGGCTTGTGCACGTATTGGGTGACACCAGATCTTCAGAGAATGGCCACAACACCTTGATCTGCTGGACTCCAAATAACCAACTAATTTTACGTATCCATAAATTAGCAGGAGATTGAGGGAACGTCTGTTGACCCTCTAAAGAAACTCCAGTTGTGGGATAGAACAACGCCCATCCCTGCTACATGCAAGAGAGGTCCATGTCCATGCTCCCCATCCTACATACACAGGCGTGTGCATTCCTGAAGCTGGGGGAAGCTCTGCACCGCGCTTCAGCTCCTGCTCAAACCACAGATCAAAATGCAGCAACAGACCAACACCCAACCAGACACATGCAGGAAACTGTCTGGTTGCAGAGGGAACAAAGCACGCGAACATTTATCGAGGGGCTTTGTGAATTCCGCAGCTTGTGCTGCCTTTGAGGAGCATCTCTGAGAAACCATGGGGGGAAGCAGGTAGATTATGTTGGAGGAGCATTTGAACAGGCAGACATCCATGCCTATGTAACCTGCTTGTAGGAAACATTAATGGTTCTCATTAGGTCTGCTCAGCTAACCTTTGCACCAACAGGAGTAAAAATCAATACTTGGAAGTTTAGCCTGATCCTCTCAGGCTTCAACCCAGGAGAAAACCCCCGAGAATAAATGGCAACTTCTTGCCCTTCTGGGATTCTGTCCAGAAACGCACTGAGAGAGCAGCCGCCGGGGTGAATCAGCCATCAGGCCCTTCATGCTGGCCAACCTCCCCGCGGTGGGAACGGGAGAGCCTCAGCCCCGTGTTTGGAGGCAGCTCCTGGGAGCTGGATGTGACTCAGCTTCCCCGGGACACAGAAGCCAGAGCTGCACATTTCCACGCAATTCCCATTCCCAGACATTTCCAAAAGTGTCTGGAGGAGGGGTTTAACTTCAGCCTGTCAAGCAGAGACGGGCAGGTGGGAATTTGTTTTTTTTCTTTCCTTTCCCAGAAGTTTCACCTGGGCTTCTCTCCAAGCAGAATAATCGCCCTCTGCCTCCCTTCCTTCCTGCCTATGGGCAGCAGTGGGAGACATCTCTCCCCGCTTCCCCTTGAAACACCCCTCCGCTGGAAAGGGAGGCTGGCAGTGCCCCAATCCCCATCCAGAGCCTCTCATCTCCTCCTGGTTTGTGTTTTATTTTGTCAGATCTGGCACCATAACACCTTAAGCAATAAACCCTCCTGAGGTGGGAGGAGGTTTGCATCTTCCATTTTGGTGGCAGAAGAAAGCTCTCCTTGCCCTGTCTCCCACCAACCCCTTGGAGTCTATGTCCACAAACACACAAAAAAAAAGAAAGCAGAGATTTGTTCCTGGTGGTGCCCATCACGGATCGCTGCACACATGCCATCCACCGTGAAGCTGCTCTATTGCCTCCGTCGCAGCAATTGCAATGCATACAGCCGGGATGGCTCCTATGGGAGCACCACCTCCACGCTTCACCCAGCAGCCTACTGTCACCCGGCTTCTGTTGGTAAGCCAGCCCCAAAACCTGTGTCTGGACCATGACACCTCACCAGCACTGGATTCAGCCTCACGATCCAAGCCGTAGTCCCTGAAAGAGGTGGCAGAGACTGGCCCAGGTCACCCAGCTTTCCAGCAAACACCCCTCACTCCGAACGCAGCTGAACGGTTCAGTTCCAGCCCCGGCACCCCTCTCTCCTCCAAAGCCTCAGGCTTTCTTCTTCCCAGTGAACTCAGCCAGGCCAGTCAGCTCGCTGCAGCCGCTGGTGAAAGCACCTCCGAGAGCCAGGAGGTTTTGCACTGTAGCTGTCGCAACCTTCTGGGTTTGCAGCTCCCGGCTGGGGAAAGCTGGGGTTTACCTCCAAATCAGCTGTCTCCAGATGCAAGCACAGCGAAGAAAACCATTTGCCAAGCCTTTTCCCAAAGAGGAAGGTATTCCAGTAGGAAACCTGGCTCCACGACTCAGCTGATTCCTTGCTTTCTATGGCACAGACTCGGTGCATGGAGGTGGACTGGCTGCCCGGATCCTTACACCCCTTTCTACCCGTCTGCAAAACGGAGGGGGCTGTGAAGCATCCGCCCTGAACCAATGCAAGCCACTGTGGTAAGAAAAGGACACCTCTCCTCCTAACTCATCTCCTTCCTACCACTCACACAGGGGTGTCCCAGACGCTCCCACACTTCTCAGCCTGCAAATGGGAGACATGTTGGGAGCTTCCGAGGTGACTCCCGAGCTCAGGTTTCTGTCCCGTGTGTAGGCAGAGCTGCCCGCGCTCCACCTGCCACAATGCTCAGGAGAGAGCCGAGCCCCGGCTTGTGGCCAGCTCCCGGCCCCATGGCACGGTGGAAAAGCTCTGGCCATCCAGAGGAGGGGACGGGTCTGGCGGAGGATTCCAGCCATGGGGGCTCTCTCAGAGGAAGGATTTGCAAAGGTTAGGCAGCTACTCCAGCTTTGGAGCCAGGAACAAATGGTTAATAGCACCACACTGAAATGCCCAAGCGCCTCAGGGGTGTGGAGCAGTGCAGCACTCCCGGGAGATCAGCTCCACCGGGGAGGGAGTCGATGCATCCAGCTCCGCATCTTGTCCTAACTCTTCCATCCAGTGCAAGAGACCTCGGCATCCCCTGCCCAGGGTAACCCCTGAGAGACGTGAGCCGGTCTGTCCCCCACAAACAAAACCTCACAAAAGCACCCCATAGCAGCTGCTCTGTCCCCAGAGAGGACCCCCTTGCTGTCCAGAGCCTGGTGGGATTTTACCTCGGTTGGAGTGGCCCACGCTCGACGACACGGACGACTTTTGCTTCTGCCGCTTCACCGTCATCATCACTTGCTCTTGGACTCGCTGTTTTCCCGTGCCCTTAGTTTTCAGCTTGTGGTCCGAGGGCAGAGCCAGAGTGGAGCTGGCCTGGTCTTGGAAACACTCATATGCCAACGCTGTTTTCAGCGGAGAGTGAAGCATGGCTGCAAGCAGACCGTGGGGCTGGGGGGGAGAGGGGGCTGCACTTCACCTGACCACGCACGACACAAGGCGACAGCAAACGAGTCTCGTGCTGGGGTTAATCTCCCGAACCCCT